CCCCGGGGCCAGCTGCACCAGCCGCTGCAGAAGTCATGGAGGTCCCGGAAAGTCACAAAATCCATGACTTCTATGACAAACTCGCAGACATACTCATCATCCACCTTTCCAAAAAGCTGTCAGTATTGTCACACATTCTAGTTCATAGTTTGTCCTTTCCTCAGCATTGTTAAAGAAGATTCTCATCGGACAAAAGTCTATACACAATGGTGTTAACAGACTCATATTCATGATTTACATTATGAGGGTCAAAAATAAGATGTCAGCTGCAGCTACCAGAAACACTGTTAACACAGTAGCCATTATGAGGTTTGATAACCTTAAAACAGGAGGTTAACTAACCCTCTTTCCAGCTCACACACATGCATTTATATAGGTGACTGGTTCCATACTGCTTAAGATAAAAGATCTGTTCTTGCAACTGCTTACTCATGTGAGCAGCCTATTAGCATGAATAAAGGTCTGCAGGATCAAGTCCAGAGAAAACATTTTCCATAAACCACATGACAAATCTTACCTCCATCACCAGCTACAGTTGCAAAGCATTCTGCAGAGAACTATTCTGATGTACCAGAAAAGAAGAAAAAGCTAAGAAAGCTTGTTTGGCTACTTGTCTCCATTTTATCGAAGTGTACTGTGTCCCACTGTAATTACTACTGTGAAGCATGATCACATTATTATTTTCTCTCTCCAAAGTGTTTTTTGAAATACATTTTGGGAAGGGAGCTATATAAAAATGAATTGAATTGTATATCTGTGGAAGTGAGAAAGCGTTGCTTGCTGTTATGGAAGAGTGCTTTCGGCTGACATGATTATTTTGTTGTTTTCCTTTGATAGACAACTGACTGTACATAGTGATAAAAAGATAGCTGGAGATGGCCAGAATTGGTGCAGAATTGGAGCACAGACATCCCAGCCTTGCTGTGCTTTATCTAACACAAGGAAATGGCTACAAGCCAAATGAAATTATTGTTATTGGTGATGTCACCATTCACCATATTCCCAAGTAATTAAGGTCTCGTTTGCAATGTGGCTATCAGCTGACATTATGTCTGCATATTGGATGTAGATGGGTTTTGCAAACCTAACTTTTTTTTAAATACAAACATATTTCTGTGATTTGCAAAACAAAATACTTGGGCCAGATACTCTGCTGGAGTAAACTGGCACAGCTCCATGGGCAGTCCTCTCTTTTAAAATAATGTTTGTCGTTTGGGTTCGAATATAGAGCTTTATGCTTAAAATGTTACATATAGGTTAGTTTAATGTTTAAACTCTCTATAAATTGAACTCCATATTGTAAGCCAATAAGCAATAATAAACAGGTCTCCTTATATCTCTTCAAAGGAAACCAAAACTGAACGGTTTGCATTTACATCTTTGTTACCTAAAATATACTCAGAAATAAAGTGAAAATTTAGCGATGTTATACATCTAGAGATAATGTGACATATCCTCAGCTGGTATAAATTGTCATAGCTTCTAATGGAGCTATGACAATTTACACCGGCTGACAAGCTGCCACATTATTTTAAAATGCAAAGAGTAGGGTTGTGTTTTTTAATATTCAAAAGAAGCTGATGAATATAACAAAAAGGCCCTCAATCAGACCACAACATTTATTTCCATTCTTTAAGAACTCTATTTCAAAGGGAAAATGGAATGGAATACCTGTATTTTCAAATGAAATGCCATTTCCAGCAGAATTACACAATATTACAAAATCAATGGCTATGAGACAATGGACATGTCAGTACTGCCTTTTATTTAAATGTGATGACTAAATATAGATTGTAAATATGAGAACCAACATTAATTAATTGGTTTTCGCAGTCTTTAGTTGCTTTGCCCTTCACAGTGGCATGCAGTCTGTTTGCTTTAATTTATTTTCTTTGTTTTGGTGATGTTTGACTAATAAATACATTGATGAATTGCATTTGTAAATGCCATCCATAGATCACAAGAAAAGAGTATGCTTGATGTTCCTATTATGGCAATCCTGGAAGATTTTTTTCCCCTCCTTCAACTTTTAGTATTTAACACACACACACACACACACACACACACAGAGTGCTGCAGTGCTGAATAAAGTTCCCTGTTCTTATCTGAATTTTCAACGAACAAGCAGCTGCAGAATAATGTGACTTAATGAGGCACTTCTAATAAAACACAGCACAACTTAAAAGAGAGGCATACAACTGTTTGCTCACTGATAGAACTATCATTCAAAATAAAGTTTCAAAACAATGGTCACATTTTGTATATGAATAGTAAATTATACGATTTCCTAGTTTCCACAGTCACTGATGAGTGCATGAGATTGACAAATGTTTAGTATTTTACTATTACCTGTAGTCAAACCTAACACATAATTAGTGCTACAGGATCTTCTTCTAATAGACCATTATGCTTTACACAGTTACTAGTAGGCAATAATACATTCCAGAAGAAAAATAGGTTACACCGATTAAATATTACATGTAAGTGTGGTGACACTCATATTTGAAAAATGCCGAGGTGTTTTGGGCCTACCAGAAAGTACACAGACTGTTGGCAAAGAGCTCCTTTACCGGAAGTCCCTTTCACTTAATAGATAAAAGGAAAACCTATGCTTTCATCCTTGAAAACGGAGTCATTCTATCAGCTCCACTGATTACATTATGAAAGTTGATGGCTACTAAATGCTGTTAGGCCACCACATTGCTTTGAGATTGCACATCTGCTTTAACATCAATCTAAACGAGGCTCACTGAATCTTCAGTCTGCAACTTGCCATTGTAACTGAAGCTCTCTAGTATTATCTATCTGTCTACATACACATTACAATTTTCAACTCCACTAATTCTGCTTATGCTCCCCACTAGCACAATCAACTGTATGACTTGTGCCTACGTGTAAAATGAAATCCCTTGGTGCTCTTGAAGAGATGTGCAAAAACATTACACTACATGTCAAATACATGACAAGGCGCTGGATTAGTTCTCATTCGCTGATTAAAACAGTATGACAGGAATCAAGATTTTATTTCAAAATCACCTACTATCAACTAGACAGCATATCTAAATTCATTCTTTCAAAAGCCTCCTGCTCAGATAATATATGGTACTCAGTATAAGTATGCTGTAAATAGCAAGACTGATCTAATACAAAACGAGTGATCACTATAGTCCCCTCTTCACTAAAATCATAGTACTGAAATAGTTTACATTTACAGTAAGAACAGTATTGTAGCTTGGTAAGTCAGGGCAGTAATAAACTGAAAAAATAGATGCTCAGGTGAACATCGCCATTACAATATCAAAGCTGTGTAAGTAATATCTAAAACTGAGATTTAGCTGAATTACTTTACCACTGTTACGTGAACAATTATGAAATTATTAAGATTAGATACATACATATATTCACAGTGTAAAGTGACTGAAATGTTACTGCGACAGGACAAGTATAATAAATAAATCCTTTGTGCCCCCTTTAAAAATTGTCTTAGAAGTGGGTCATGTTTCTCAAGTTTACCGAAAGCCATGGTGGGATAGGACTGTTTAGTTTGTTTAGGTTTTTATGTTATGCTCCATAAAGGAATCTTACAAGCAAAGAAAAAATAGTAATGTATCACCTAATAAAGTAGCTTTAAAGTGTTAAATTGGTACCAGTCTGAATGTTAATATCTAAAAGCAGGTGGTAAGAAAGAGCAACCAGATAATAATGATCATTTAAATTTATCCAGTGCTGTGAGAAGACCCTAACACCCTGGATGTTTTATGGGGCTCTATTTGTTTATTATTTAAATTAACAGTTCTTCAGGAGTCAAAACAAGATTTCCTAGTTACAAAGCCAAAAATTATTATTGTGGCAGGTTTGTACAGTTGTTTTTTCCAACAAATTAATACCCTCCAAGCAAAGAGTGGAAAGAGACTATTGTAACTACACATATAGAGTAATTCAAAGTGCTTCAGGCAGTTGTTTAACCTCCTGGTAAGGATGAGGAATAAAATAGAGAAAAGCATGACAACTCTGCTCCTAGCAGGGCACTGAAAGATGCTGCTCTTTGTGCTTTGCATAGACAGCTTGTGTTTCTAATCCCACAGCTAGCTTTACAGGAAATAAAGCCGATATTTTAAAAAACTCTGTCTTGCACAAGTACCCTGGGGTAGGGGGGCTGGGAGGGAAAAACCTTCCCACTATGAAACAGAATACAGATAAAATGCTATTGAGCCGTTAAACTAGCTCATTGAAATGGGAAGAAACAAGCAAAACATATTGGCAAGAAATGTCTCAGGTTAGATGCCACGATTTGGGGAACATTTACAGAGGAAAGAACTGAAGTCATAAACCGTACGTTATATAGACCTTTTTAAAACTATTCCTAAAACGATTCACTCTTTAACCTCTCCCTTAAGCCATCCAATAGAGCGATCTGTCTCCAAACAAAATAAATCGCCCGGTATCTGAGGTTCTGGAAGTTATCAGCCATGCTCTTTATGAAAATAATTAGGCAGAAAACCTGATAATCTTACTAAAACGTCCACCGTTCTGCAGAAATGTGGAGGATTAAATAATCAAAAATGGACAGAATTCAAAGAAGTTCACCTGACACATCTCATTGATCCATATTAGTGCCCCACTGGGCTATTTATCAGGAGTCCAGTAAGTTTACAAACCAGCACTGAACTGGAAAGCGGAGTGAAATTAAAAACAGTTCTTTAATCAAAAGAGGCTTTTTTTGAACTTTTTTTGTACCGGAGAGGAGGGGTTGGAATAATCGACTCACTTAAATACCCTTCCTCACCTTCGTCTCTTCCCCACCCCCACTCATTCACAAATCGCTTTAACCAGAACTTCTCCCCTCAACCTCTTTCCTCGCCCAGCTCTGATCGGATGCTAGAGTGACTGGCTGGATACTTCCAGCATCTCTCTTCACCAAGGGATCAGACAAGACAAAACGTGAAGGGCCGGGAGCTCGCCACAATTTAGCAGAGTGGGAGATCTCCCTTTGCACTCACCCGAAACCCGCACAACACTGTACCGGGCGGGGGGACTGGGGCGCCTGAGAGCAGGAGCTGCTGCTGCCTGAGCCCGCTCACATCTGGAGAGAGCTGGCACCTTCTCACCTACCTGCAGCCCCGCTTCCTTTTGGAAAGCCCTAGCGATCCTCCTTCAGGTTCCGGGGGGAAACTCCAGCCTTATCGCACTTGCATCGCTTACAAAATCCCAATCCTCCTCCGGCATCCACTGGCATGGATTTCTTCGGGGCTGGGGGGGGGGGGGGATAAATTTGCTGCGTGGGGGTTTCCCCCACTCCTCTCGGATTGTATCTTGAAATAAAATAGGGATCCGCCAAGCAGGTGCAGGGAAGAGAGGGGGCTTTGGAGGGAGAGGTTGGGGGTGTTTCTTGTGCACTATTTAAAAGTGAGCAGAGGATTTTTTATAAAGGAGAGATGTAGGTTTTCTCTGCTAAAAAAGGACAGCGCAGCTCTCGCCCCTTTGCCAGACCAGTGAAGGTCCCGATTCAGCCTTGCAAGCAGAGAAGGAAGAAAAATTAACCGCATCCCTCAGCAGTCCTCCTCTGTTACTCCACCTCTGGTTGGTCTGCTTTTAATACACAGCAAGACTTTGCCCCCTCTCGCCTCGCTCCTTCTCCCTCTTGGGAAAGGTAATTGGAGAGTAAGAGATTCACCTGCAGGGGGAAAAATCAGCCCGCACGTACTTCTCCAGATTGCTGGCTGGCTGTGGTGGGATTGTTTTAGACAAGCTGAGGCAGCTGGTGCGGCTTTAAGACGAGGCAGGGGATGGTCCTTGCCTCCCCAATATCTATCTCCCCACGGCTGCCCCAGCTCCTCGATCCTTCTTGCTGCCCCAGGTACGTCCGAGCTGGGAACTCAGGTCCGGTTAATAGATAACGTGGCGGAGCTGCTGGCGCTGTATTGCTGGTAGCCCTTCCAGGAGCCCCACCGCCAGAGTTTCCGAGAGACTAACTAGCCCCAGGCACACCGTGGGCTGAAGCGTACGCCTGCCTTAGATCTTCTCTCTCCTCGCCAGCACCCCCACACTGTCACCCCCCGGGAGAAAAGGGTGCGGGTCCGAGCACCCGCGCGGGCGTCTCGTTCCTTCCCCTTCAGAAGGAAGGGGAAAGCGGCCAGCTTAACCCAAAGAGACAGACGCACAAATGAGTAGAGGAAACGAAAAATCCCCTCGGACACAGTTTTGCAACTCCCTAGAGCGCCAATCGCTGGGGAGAAAAATGAGCGTGGAGTTGGTTTCCCCTTTAAAGCCAAGCTCTTTGGGGAGATTTCCCCTCCTTCCTGTATTGGGACCAATTCATGAATGAATGAAATCCCTTCGGACGGGGAGAGAGCCCATTCATAGCCTGTACAACCTGGGGCTCCTGGGTGAGCTTTGGAGCAACATGGTGTTGAATCGCATCGGGCTGGGCTGGGCTGCCTCGCCTCTCCCGCCCAGCAGCCACTGAAGAAGCAAGCTGTACGGCTGCTGCCAGAAAAACCAACGCGCCGGGTGGCTGCAGCAGACAGAGGGACGGCGGCAATCCAGAGCCAAAAGCTGGCCTGTGTCTCCCTCCAGAGGAAGAAGAGATTCAGACACATACAAAAAAAACTTCAAAAACAGACTCCAAGGAGAGACTGCTGAATTGGAATTAATTTGCAAACTGGACACCATTAAATTAGGCTAGAATAAAGACTGGGAGTGGATGTGTCATTACACAAAATAAAACTATTTCCTCATGTTTATTTCCCCCCTACTGTTCCTCACACCTTCTTGTCAACTGCTGGAAATGGCCCACCTGAATTGTCACTGCAAAGGGTTTGGTTTTTTTTTCTCTCTTGCTGGTAATAGCTCACCTTACCTGATCACTCTCCTTACAGTGTGTATGGTAACATCCATTGTTTCATGTTCTCTGTGTATATAAAATCCCCCTACTGTATTTTCCACTGAATGCATCCGATGAAGTGGGCTGTAGCTCACAAAAGCTTATGCTCAAATAAATGTCTTAGGCTCTAAGGTGCCACAAGTACTCCTTTTCTTTTTGCGGATACGGTAACATGGCTGCTACTCTGAAATACTGACTACAGCAACTCCGGTTTGAAATCTACACAAGGAGGGATCTTTGATCCCAATGACACACAACATTGGGCACCTGGAAGTAGCTTTTGAATGGACATTCTAAGAGGTCATTTAGTAAGGTTACAATCAACTGCAGTTTACTGCGTGTGGCACTTATCTATGGGACCATGGTCTTACCTTTATTCTTACCTTATTTTGCTTTGTGCCCTTAGCAGTGTAATGATCCCTTAGTTGCTGCATTTTTATTTTATTTTATTTTTTGCCATTGGTGATTTGATCCTTTAGCCCAAGGATCTTGGTTCAGATAATTCAAAACATGAACTTGGGAAAGGCTTTTAAAAACATGAGGCCACTCTTAGACACACCTACCTTCCTTCCTGTGTGTTACTCTGCTTGTTAATGGCCTTTTATGCATTTCCTCTTCTCACCCCTCTTTTTTCAGCTCTGAATACAGGCACATTTAAGAGGATATTCTTAATAGTGCTTTCTTTGCTCTGGAATAGGTTTGTTCTTGTACAGCACATGCTGTGTTGACAAATAAAATTATTATCAGCCAAACTTGCCACCTTTTGTTGAACAGCACCTGCACCTCAGCCCCAGTAAAGGTGAACGAGTCTGACCCTATATCACTACTTTTGCCTAACAGAGGAAAGATTGCTTAAGGCACATATTCTTTATGCTTTGCCTCTCCAGTTAATACAGAGATCTCCAATAACAACAACCACAGAGATATTAATAAATTAGACAATACAATTAGATGTGGGGGGGCCGGTTTTATTGGTTGCAAAAGGTTTTACATGAGTGTCAAGCAGTGCAGAATTAAGTGTCCATGATATATTTCATCATTCATTCATTGCCAGGCTTAAAAAAAATCATCCATACAAATAATAAGATTAAACTATCCAAGAAATGACTTCTGCAAGTCCCTTTACTGACACCAAACCCTATATGATGGTACTCGGTGAATTGTATGGGAAGGAAAGTGAAACAGAAAAACAGCAGAGCAGATTTCTTTAATCCACATTTGTGGAACATTGGTGACTTTTTCAAATAATACAGAGGCATAAAAATCAACGGAGTCCAAAAAAGAAAACAACTGAAGAATGCAGATAGCTCCGTGATGACTGCCCCACACTCACTCCTTCAGCACTGCAGGGGGAGTTAGAAATAGGCTGGCCTGGAAAGTGAAAGTAAAAAGTATTCTTGATGGTGATATTGTACGTAACAATTCTAGCAAAAATAGACATTGCTCTGTGAGGGCTCTGGAGGCATTAAAGGATTGTTGGATTTTAAAACAGTGCAGTTTTACCTCATTAATTTGAATACATCTGATGCCACAAAAAGATAATTGAACTAGCCAGTGAGCAAATGTGCGGCTGCATTCCAAACAAGCTAAAAGTAATGCAGAAGCAGCACTGGAAACGCTACTAGTAAGGAATTAAAATAACCAAGACATGTCGTTACAAGGGCATGTCTCAGTTCTTATACCATATCCATCATTATACAATCTGAATGCCTCAAAAGTGTTGCTGTTGAGAGGTCATGAGATGAAATAGGCCGCAGTCACGATCAGTGTCCAGTTGTTCTAGGAACTGTGCAGACACCTAGGAAGACAGGATCCCTTCCCTGAACTGGTTATAGCACAATTTGACAGAAGACAAACTACAGCTACAGACAATAGAGGAGAAGAGAGGATGAGAGTAAAGTCATTCCTTTCCCATTTGTGGGGTTCTTTCATACAGTAACAAGAGAAAGAAAAATATTGAAATACAAATACAACAATGTAATTTTTTTTTAAAAAGAAACAAAAGTTAACAGGGGTACTTGGAGCAAGGGCAGTATCTGAAAACTAATTTAACTCATTTTTTTTTAACTTCCTACATTTCAAGTTGAAGTATAGCTCTAAAGAGCATGGCATGGGACGGATACAAATGAGGGAAGTTTTCTCAAAATGCCGTAGTAGCACAACCATAAACATCCTCAATCTCTTCCTTGCTCAAGCCTAGCTGCTAAACAAAATGAAATGAAAAACTGTCCTTTATTGGATTCTGGTAGACTCAATTAAATTTTGCCTGTTAAAATTTGATGAGCCTATTAAGAAGGGGATGGGAACCATTTTTATAGTGGGGGTACTGAAAGTCACTGAACCAAACTGTAAACCCTGTATATAATGGAAACAACTTCAAGCCAAGGGGTGCAGGAGCACCCCCAGCACCCCTAGTTCCAGCACCTATGCAATAGTTTTGCACCCAATAAGGTGCTGCTCCTGCAAGCTGTTCCAGGCAGACAGACCCCTCCTGTGCCCAAAGGGAGCTCCCCTGACTTCAGAGCATCTCTATATGAACACAGAAGTCCAGACATATAGAACCATGTGGGAGACTGGGACCTTAGTTTCGCACTGTGTGCACATATGCCTCTGTCATGATCAAGGTGAAAATTAAAATTGTCCAACCCGCACCCAAAAGTGTTGAAATAGTCTGTACATTGTATATTAACTTGTTCACCTTTAAAGAGGGTTTATGGCATACTAATCAATTAATCCTGATGTCATGTGATTATAAAGATTAGGATTATATACTTGAGTTTTTAGTGTCCCTCTCAAAGTGTCCCTCACAAAGGGAAAGAATTGAGCTTCAAATATCAAACTATGCTGGGACACATACCAGTATACCCAGACACAGGAAGATCAACCAGGTGCTATAGGCTCCTACAACACCCTCTTCCCCCCAGCTGGCATAGAGGGAGTGTGGGCCCTAAACTGCACCAATCCTCAATTGCTGTTTCATTACTATAATTTATGCCTGGGGACCCGTTCTACACACAGCACCCCTAGCATTAAGAGTACTAAAGTGAGCTTTATGATGATGCCTTTACACACACACAATTCTGCCATGTGCTGCTCAGCTATCGCCAAGAGCCTGGTCCACTAGGTTCATGGTTCGCTAAAAGCCTCCAGGCAATCCAAATTCTTGCTCAGTAACATGTTGCTAATCAATACAAAGTATCATTTACAACTGAAGGAAAGTGAAAAGGCAATGGAGCAAAGTTTTTCTGGAGCTCTTTAACAAACCGCCTGTAGGAAACTATTAAAATCATGATGGTTATTGGATTCTAAAGGAAATACAATTTTTAATTAGAATGGTAGAATCCAGTGCTGACTAGAGAGGGGGAAAGGGAAATAATTATACGGGGGCCCTGAGCCCAAAAAGTCTAACATCTGTTTAAATAAAGTGAAATGGGAGGGGTTAGGGCTCTGGTGAACATGATGTACCGGGCTCCCAAATTTCTCTCGATGGGCCTGGTAGAATCATCACTGATTTTCCAAAACTTCCATGTGACACTGAAAAGAAATAACAGAAGCAACTGTGCTTCTGTTATATAACATGCAAACCATTCAAAGAACTGTTACGTGCTTTTCTTTTCTTCCATTTCCACCACTGATCTTAAAGCATGATGCAAGCCCCTGAAGTGACATGGATCACAAAGTACAATGGCAACACACACAGGTGTTGAAGCTGAAGAAAGGACACCATCCAGGACTGAGACCTGGTCTACACTAAAAAGTGTGAAAAAACACAGCCCTGACTGATGTAGCTATGCTTACACAACCCCCAGTGTAGATGCTGCTATGCTGATGAAAGAGGGCTTCCATTGACATAGCTAACTTCATTTGGGGAGGTGGCGTCCCTACACTGACAGAAAAACCCCTTCTATTGGTGTAGGCTGCATCAACACCATGAAGCTATGCTAATATAGTCTCCATAGTATAGACATATCCTGAGAAAGAGGATACCCAAGTCCTTTGCATCTGTTTGTCAAGGAGATATTGTTGATATTGCTTTCACAGAAGTTTAACTGTTTCACTTAAGTTTGGTAAGAAATAGGAACACTGATAATTCTTCAATTCAAAATAGCAAAAATCCTATATTTTGAAAATGTTGCAGTTCAAAAAGCAGCAGAAAATTACAGAATTTAAATTATTGCGCAAGGTACAATCCTTAATTTTATGAGCACATACTATGTTTCAAATGCCATATATAGTTTTTTCCACGCCCACAACCTTAGATATGTGTAGGGATTTAGATGTTTATCAATAAGTGCCAGTAAAGATTAATTTCCTTGAACACACACAAACCAACAAAAAAACATTTCCATCGATAATAAACAAAATATGCAAATAGGCATAATCAAAATATGCAAATTGACTATGTAAGAAAAATGCTACATAAGAACTCATTAGAGTTTGATTTAAGTGATATTTACTTTGTATAATTTTGACATGTGGTGATGACAATTTGTATTTTAAAGGTTATAAGCTTTAACTTTTTGAATCTCAATGTGTACCATCGGTAAATAATTGTCTGACCTACCCTATTGTCTGACCTCCCCATAATTT